ACACACACACACACACACACTGGTAGCAACCATTCCTTAGCTTGTGGAATTTATAAATTAAGGGAATAATAATCCTTTGTTTGTTGATTGGAAAGAATGCACTATATTTTGGTAGAAGACTCAATATTGCTTCTACAAGGATCCCACTGTATTTTTAGAGTTCATGAAAAAGTATCAATATACATGTGCATGGGGACTGATCTAATGGAGAAAGCATAATTTAATGAATAAGGACAGTGAGTCTACAACACATTGCTGCAGCCACTGTTTAGAAACATATCCTTTTGGGGATTACATCTCTTAGGATTCCCCAACCAGCATGTCTGCAGGTCATGTTGGCTGTGGGGTTCTAGTTGTACTTGCAGCACAGCAACTCTACCTACCTCTGGCTAAAGTTTTCTTTCTAATTTTCTAAGTTATTGATGGCACTGATGTTAGCTGGTGCATCAGTGCTTTGAGGCTGGAGTTGTAGAACAACAGTTGTGATGAGAAAGTATGAAGGAAAAGACCTTAGTGTTGGATGCATAAACTTTAAGTGGCCTCCCACCATCCACACTATCCCCAGCCAGCTTTAAATAATTTTGATACTATAAATCCTTAAGAGTTAAAAGCTTTTCTCTAGAAAAAAATTGATTAAGTATTGAGTATACATTAAAACTACTTTCTTTGGATAAAATGTAAGCTTGTGCTATGAATACTTAATGAAGAACTAGGATATTTAAAGAAAAACTATTGTCTAAATTAGAATAAAACAATGCTGAATAAAACAATATGATCAATTGTATAAATGTATTCTGTTCTTTTAATTAAGTAGTTCTGACTACTTCCAGAAGATGGCACTAGCATGCACAAGCATACATATAGTCCCTAATCTTGCAAATGTTTATGTAGACAAAAGTCCCATAATCTCATACATTTTAATTTATACTTACAGAGTGTTGGTGTCAGATTATAGCTGTTATTGTCAACATTTTGTAACCAAGGCACATGTAGCACACAATCATGTATCATTTCTCTGATGTTCTTCTTTTAACTGAAAGCAGCCCCCAGAACAAATGTGGGGAAACATCTGGTACTCCAAATCTTTTAGTCTATAGTTCCCACAGTCTCTTACCATTGATCATCTTGGATGTGGCCAAAGAGGTTTGTAGGTCAAAACAATTTTCCCTCACACCTGCAGTAGAACATATAAAGAACCAGTAAGAACTATTTACACCCTTTCCCTTCCAAACATTTTCTACTGCAAATATCCAACCCTTCCTTGCTTTCTCTCTTTCAGTGGAAAAAGTTTGGGTCACAGTATTTGTGTTCCTGTGGAAAGAAAGCAGTGTAGCATGTGCCTAAAGAAAGAAAAAGATTCCTCCATTGAAATACACATTCTTTGCAGTCTGCTTTTAGTTAGAAAGGGGTTTGAAAAGGGAATATTCTCCTCTTTCCTCCTCACCCTGCTGAGTTTAGTGCAAACCACTTTTTCACTCTGAATAAAGTTTGTAGCAACTGAAGTATGTTGAGAACAAAGGGAGGAAATGGGAAGAGGAGAGAGAAACTGGAACATTTTAAAAGCAGCTGAAAAAAATGGGCTGACAGGAATATTCAGGAGTCAGGACTGCCCCTGTCAGATTGGGACAGTTGCGAGCTATGTGATAATTTGATCCTTGTATTGGCAAAATGTGCAAAATGACTCCATGCTAGGGCCAAATCTTCAAAGGCTGTACTCTTGTGCACACTTGTATAATAGTACGTAAACTGCTGAAATCAAGGGACTTATTTCCATATAAATATCTATGCAGTTGTACTATTTATTTATTTATTTGTCCAAATATTTCTGTCCCACCTTTTATTGTGGGATTTCATGGTAATGTACAGCTAAAACATTAAACAATTATAAACCATTCCAAATTAAAACAAATTAAAATAGCTAAAGCAGAATGAAAACATACTAAATACAACAGAAGATTTAAAACATTTTAAAAGGTGACAACGTTTCAGAACCATGGACATGTACATGATAAATAAATTATGCACCAAGGCTTTCATAAACAGACATGACCTGGCTTGACACTGAAAAGAAACTAAACTTGATACCTTTTTTAAAAAAGTATTTTTAAAATATGATTTGTTTTTGTATCTACCCAGTGCAGCATGTGAAAGCTGTGTTTAACAGATAGCATTTGTGACAAAGATAGCATTCAGTTCTTGGTCAGTAGTCCCCACTCAAGCCTCTCTGATGTGAAGCATTACAGAGAAGCCAAGTCACTTTCTGACTTACTTTCTTGTTCTACTGGTGGTTCACTATTCACAGGTCAACACAACCAATTTGATGTATCTATTAGGGATTTAACACTTAAAAAACGATCTCTGCCCTATTGATCTGGCATTACTATTATATTATAAATTATAACAATGGTTTTAAAGCTTAAGAGAAAATTCAAAAGCAATTTGTGATATGGAAAGGAGTAGAGGACATCTTTCAAATAGGGGAAGACTTTTGGTCCTTTGGACAAAGCCAGGCTGTTTGATTTATCTACAGACATTCTTTCACATTGAAACAAGGGCCTTAAACTTGATGTCCATAAGATATCTGAAATAGAATAGTCTATTGTGTGTAAACAATTTTAGTAGTTTGTATACATTGGGGTGGACAATTTTGTGGGATTTAATGGGCCAATACTAGTCCCCAGATCCTGCCATCAATCATATCCCTCTTGCTGTTGAGCAGCTTCAAAATTCATCAAAATCAGCATAAACATGAGGTGATTTTTCCACTTTGTTTTTTGAACAGTGGATTTTTTACTCAATCATATTTCTCTGAAATAAGAGAAACACAGAAACAAACACACAGCCTTGACACACTTTCCTTTACATACAAAAATGAGTTTCATTTAAATTTCATCTGGCTGCCAAAATCCAAGAGAATAGAACTATCAAAAGTCACAAATGCCCAGTGGGCTACATCCTGCTTAGCCCAGTATACATATTAGATTTTTGCAAAGGTAACTACTTACCTTAAAAAAAGAGTGACTTGAATTTTATTGTTGGTCCCACCCAGAATAGATCCATTGGATCAATGGTGGGTCTGTAAGTTAAACCAGATGTAAGTACCATTGATTCACTGGATCTACTTTATTTGGGACAAGCTATTCAGGCCAGTAAGTGATTCCTTATAATTATTATTCATAGCCTTTTATTGTATTAGATACTTTATGGTTCCTGTTTCATGCATCATCCCAATGATTTGGGAGGTAGGATTGCAGAAAAAAAATAAATGGACATAAATCAGACATTAGGAATGGGAATACACAAAAATTGGTAGCTGAACATTTCAATCTCCCTGGGCATTCCATCTCAGACCTTAGAACAGTGGTCCTTGAATAAAAGAACTACAAAGGTAGATTGGAAAGAGAAACAGCAGAACTGAAATTCATCAATAAACTGCAGTCCCTCAGCAATGGATTGAACAGGGACAATGGCTTCATGGCTCACTACACACATTTCAACACTATCTGACTCCATCCTCATGGGGGCATCCTACACTCATCTATTCTCCCCACCTACAGGCTGGTTTCCAAGGCCAAACTGGTCTTGCCACCTCACTTCTATATCCAATGACTATGTCTTTGTCCACAAAAGACCATAATTAAAACTGGATTTGCTATTTCATTTGCATACACAAAGGATTTTGAATTTGAATTAACATTCTCACATACCAAGGGCACATATATGTCTGTCCCTGGCTTCCACTCCACCAAAAGCATCTGAGAAAGTAGGCTGAAGTCTATAAAAGCTCATGTTGCCAACTGCTTCCAGTTAGTCTGAAAGGTGCTACAAGATCTCCCTACAGAGTGATTCTACAGATTAATATGGCTATATTTTTAATTCCTACTGGATAATTTGTCTACTCCAGGGGCTGGAACTGTACAACCTTGCTCTTACTAGTTGCAACCAGAATAGTCAACCATGAAAAATGCTGGGTGTTGTAGTCCAATACATTTGGAAGGAAGCAGAATTCACATTCAATCAACTGGCTCCAGTAGCTCCAGAGGTGACTGCTTGTCGATACAGTTCTTTCAAGCCTTTGAAAATAATTGTACTGTATACTTAAGGTTATGGCTTTCTTCATTTAGTACCTATGCAAGTCTTTTGCAAAATATTAACAGTACTATTGTATTCCACAGACAGTGATATTTAGAGTAAATTCAATTATATCTTTTACTGAACTAAATACTGTAATGTTGAACATTTCCAACAAATATTCTTCAACATGTAAAGCAGAAATAAGCTGTCCCTCTGGGTAAAGTCTGAAGGAGTATAATCTTATTAATTACTATAATTTTCTTTCATAATCCTTTATTTCCAGAGAACCAATACCAGCCAGGTATTCTCTATCCTAGCGGGATGCATTTCATCTTACATTTGCTCTGAGAAAGTGCAGACAATTCTGAAATTTGGACCATAGTAATTTTTTATCTTGTCCATTAAATTATTGTGTCTTTATGCTTTGTGCTTTCAAGTCATTTCTGACTTATGGTGATCCTAAGGCAAACCTGTCAATGGAGTTTTCTTGGCAATATTTGTTCCAAGGAGGTTTACCATTGCCTTCCCCTGAGGCTGAGAGCATGTGACTTGCCCAAGGTCACCCAGCAGGTTTCATGGTCAAGCTGGGATTCGAACCCTGGTCTCCAGAGTCATAGCCGAACATCCAAACCACTGTGCCACTCTGGCATATCAACTATTTTAAAACTGCAATAATATGTTTTCTGAGAGCAAGATCTATTGAATACAGCAGGCTTTGTTTCTGAATAAAAATGTGTAGGATTGTATTGTAGATCTGTTCATTTAAATTATTACATTAGAAATTAGAAGTTCTTTCTGAGCTCACACTTTTCCAGTTAATTCTTCTTTAATTTCTGTGGAATTAATAATAATAATAATAATAATAATAATAATAATCTGAGAAGAACTGCAGCAAGTTTGAGCAGAGATATTGCAGCTCTGCTGTTGCAATTGTAATAGTTTTCCCTATTATTGAGCATTAGTAGAGAAGCAGATTGCAAGAGGGAAAGATCAAAGATTTGCAACAATGTCTGGGATGTAAAATTATAGAGCTGGAAGATACACCAAGGGTCATTTAATTCAACCCCTATGTCAATATAGGAATCCATAGCTAAAGCATTCTTGAGAAGTGACAATCCAACCTGTGTTTAAAGACAATCAATGAAGGAGAGTCCACCGCCTTCTAAAATAGCCTATTTTTCTGTTGAACAGCTCATAGTTGAATTTGGCCCCTATTTGGAAAGCACTATGCATAGCCCCATATCATTGATAACTAGTTCCAAGCAATGAGATGTCCAGATGTAAAATTTCCTCTAGCTTATGGTTGTTGGCTAACCTGGGCCACTTGGTTAAATCAAAATGGTCAATCCTCTAATTGGTATTATTAGCCTTTGTAGATTAAGGCAATATGATCTTATGATTATTTCAAAAGCAAATCCTCATTATTGGGGATAATTACATTTGAAACTAATGAGGAAGGATTACTTTTCAGGGCTTAAGAGGAGGCCAAGAAAGATATTATAGGTTAATTATTCTTCTAAAATACTCCATTTCAGGAACAACTCATTTTATCAACTTTTGCTTCCCACTTTCAATGCTGGTTGAGATTTGTTTGAAGAGAATTCCAAATATAATTGCAGCACTGACCCCATCTATCGCTTGATCAGCAATCACTTTACATCAGCAAAAGGTTAATAAAATGTTTAAGAAAAGAAATGTGGTGCTTTATCTACATAGAGTGACTGCAACCCTGCTCTCCAAATTTTCCCTTCTACTCTTCTTCTTGCACCTTTCAATTTTGAAAAGTGCAAAATTTATTGAAAAAAACTCCTTGATACAAGTGCAAAATTTATAAAAATGCCTTCATATCATTATCTAAAAAGATTGCATCCCTAAGATCCAGTATGGTGAGTTAGTTAGAATATTGGATTGGTGTTTGAGAGATTGAGTTCAAAACTGCAGTGAGCCATGAAGCTTGCTGGGTGACCCTGGGTAATTTTTCCTAACAGAGGCTTGTTCTGTTGGGAAGAGGGAAGCCAAGTATTGCTCATTGAGTTCATTTTTCAAAATATCAGTAATATCCTAAATTTGAGGGTTTTTTTAAAAAAATATGTTTTTCAATGTTACTCTTCAGTCAAAATTATATATTTGACTGATTTGTTGTTGTGTGCCTTCAAGTTGTTTCTGACTTATGGTGACCCTATCATGGGGCTTTCTTAATAAGATTTGTTGAGGTTTGCCATTACCTTCCCCTGAGGCTGAGAGCATGTGACCTGTCCAAGGTCATCCAGTAGATTCATTGGTCAAGCTGGTTTCCAGAGTTGTAGTCCAACACTCAAACTACTATGCCAATTTCTGATTTGTAGTTGTGGGTTAATGTAAGGGAGCTATGAACAAGATGTAAGAGAGCCAGCATGGATTAGAGAGCTAGCATGGTGTTCTGGTTTGAATGTTGGACTAGAATCATAGAATCATAGAATCATAGAGTTGGAAGAGACCACAAGGGCCATCTAGTCCAACCCCCTGCCATACAGGAAATCAAAATCAAAGCATCCCCGACAGATGGCCATCCAGCCTCTGTTTAGAGACCTCCAGAGAAGGAGACTCCACCACACTCCAACAAGACTCTGGGAGACCAAGGTTCAAATCCCCACTCAACCATGGAAATCCATTGGGTGGTCTTGGGCATATCATATTCTCTCTGTCTCACAGGAAGGTAATGACAAACCTCCTCTGAACAAATCATGCCAAGAAAGCCCCATTATAGTTCTGCCTTAGAGGTGCCATAGTCAGAAACACCCGAAGGCACACAGCAGCAGCAGCAGCAGCAGCAGCAGCAGCAGCAGCAGCAATATTCATTGATTTCATGAACATGATTCTGTTAGGATGGAGTGAGCCATTAGTTGTTGGCTAGTATATTATCTTGCCTGCTTCTGATGGTAATTACACTTTGAGATAAATAAGAAACTTTAAATGATAAAATGAGGTAGTAAATCACTATGTAAACCCCACATTTCTAGAATACCTATTCATAAAGAACAGTAATAATAATAATAATAATAATAATAATAATAATAATAATAATAATAATAATTTTAATAATAATTTTTATTTAATACCCCGCCCCTCTGAGAACAATCAGGGCGGCTTACATCATAAAAAATAATCACATAACAATTTAAGAACAATTCACCCTCCCCCCCTTAAAGTTATTAAACCAATTACAATTAAAACAAATTATAAAGGAGGTAA